GAAGAGCAAATCAAATCCAAAGTAACAAAAGAAAGAAAAATATAGAAGCACTCAATGACATTAAAAACAGAAAATTAACAGAGAAAAATCCACAAAATAAAAAGATGATTCTTTGAAAAGATCAGTCAAATCAACAAGCTGCTAGCAAGGCAAATTAATAAAAAAAGAGGGAAGATACAAATTACTAATATCAGAAATGAAAGAGGGGACATCATTACAAATTTTATGAACATTAAAAGGACAATAAAGAATTGTATAAACAACTCAGCACACAAATTTGATAAATTAGATAAAATGGACTTATTCCTTGAAGATAATAATCTCAAAATCCACATAAAAAGTAACAATCTGAAAAAGTCTATATCAATTAAATACACTGATCAGTAATTAATAACCTTACAAAACAGAAATCACCAGGCCCATGTGGACTTACTTACTGGTGAATTCTATCAAACCTTTGAGGAAGAAATTATAGCAATTCTGCATAATCTATCTCTTCCAGAAGGTAGAGTCAAGGAGAATATTTTCTAACTTAAAGGGCACCATTTTCCTCATAACAAAACCAAAAACATTATAAAAAAAAAAAACTACAGAACAATATCTCTCAGTTACATACATATAAAAATCCTCAAGAAAATATTAACAAAAGGATTCTAACATATTTAAAAAGAATTACATACTGCAAGGAAGCAGGATTTATACCAGGTGTGCAAGGCTGGTTCAACATACAAAAATCAGTTAATATAATCCATCACATCAACAGGCTAAAGAAGATGATCACATGATCATATCAGTAGATGCAAAAAACCATTTGACAAAATCCAAAGCCATTCATAATAAAAACTATAAACTAGAAATAGAGGGGAACTTCCTCAATTTGGCAAAGAACATCTATAAAACTTACAGCTAATATCTTATTTAATGGTGAGACAGTAGTAACTTTTCCACTAAGATCAGGAGCAAGGGAAGGATGTCTCCTCTCACCACTCAACATTGTACTGGAAGTTCTAGCTAATACAATAACAGTAATAATAAGACCAAGAAATGTATATAAATTGGAAAGGAAGAAATAAAAATGTCTTTGTAGATGATATGACTGATATGACTGTCTACATAGCAAAACTGAAAGAATCAAAAAAAAAAATCCTAGAACAAGTGATTATAGTATGATCCTGATACAAGGTAATACATAAAAGTCAATCACTTTTCTAAAACAGCAATGAACAACCAGAATTTGAAATTAAAAACACATTACCATTTATATTAGCACACATAAAATAAAATACTTAAGTATAAATCTAAGAAAATATTTATAAGCTCTATATGAATAAAACTATGATAATGATATCAAAGAATTAAATACATGGGGGATATTCCATGTCCATGGATAGGAAGGCTCAGTATTGACAAGATATAAGTTATTCTTTACTTGATTCATAGAATCAAAGCAATTCCAATCAATATCCCAGGAAGTTATTTTATAGATATCAACAAGCTGATTCTAAAATTCATACAGAAAGGCAAAAGACATAGAACTACCAGCACAGTGTTGAATAGGAAGAACAACGTCAGAGGACTGACACTACATGATGTCAAGACTATCAATCTACTATGTGGTATTGATGAAAGTATAAAAAGATCAATGGAACAGAATAGAGAGCCCCAAAATAGACCCACATAATTATAGTTAACTGATCTTTGACAAAAGAGCCCTAAAAATCCTCTGTGTCATCCATCCATTCTCTCTCCACCCAGGGTTTGGCAACCACTGATATTTTCACCGACTCCATTGATTTTTTTCTTTTCCAAAATGTCACACAGTTGGAATTATACAGTATGTAACCTTTTTAGACTGGCTTCTTTCACTTAATAACATGCATTTAAGGTTCTTTCCTGTCTTTTCATGGCTTGATAGCTCATTTCATTTTAGCACTGAATGATATTTCTTTGTCTGAATGTTTATTTATTTATTCATCTTTTTACTTCCTATTGCTGTGCTTTGGCATAAAGAGTCATTAATTTATTTATTCATGCATGCATTCAACAATCATACTGAATTCCTATTTTATGTAAGACACAGAGGCAACTATATATATAATGAGTAAGCAGAAATGAATTTGCTTTTAATGATTGCAGAGTACTCCCAAGTGGTATGACTTTGCTCAGAGGGTATTTAATTTATTGGGATGGGAGAAGAAAATATTAGATCTTTATTTGCATATATATTTTGATTATCTTTTAAAAGTATATTTTGTTTGTCTCAAGAGGTTAAAAAATTAGAATTCTGGTGCTTGTACAAATTATAAATATAAATGTAAATATGTACACATTCATAGATAGTGGATTCTTATTTTTTCCTCTATGTGATCAAACAAATTTGGTCTGATGTAATGAGACAGACCTCAAACGTACAGTACACATACTTACAAATTGTGACATGTTCTATGAATGCACAGAACAGAATTACTCCTAGAGCAAAGTGCGAGGAGCGTGGAAAAAATATTCCCAGCAGATGAAACAACATGTGTAAAAGCTCTGAGGCAGGAACAGCTCTACATGTGGAAGGGACTGAGACACCTGGCGTAGCTGAAGCTCAGTGATCGAGGAAGAGGAAGGAACAGGAACGTCTGATGAGGCTGGTGAGCCGGGAAGAGGTCAGCTGACACACTGGCTCATAGGATAGGGTCGTGAATCTGAATTTACTGTTAAGTGCAAAAACGTGCTGGCAATTTTTTTTTTTTTAAGCAAAGATGTTATCTGGTTTTATCTGTGTACAAATAATTCTGACTGCTCTTTATGTTATTTTTGAAGGGTAAGTGAAAAAGCCCCAGAGTCTGGCAGACATAATGAATTTTGTTCAAATCTCATTGTAAAAAATTTCCCTCAAAACATGATGTGCAATTAGATGTTATAAAACTGTGACATGGAAAAAAATTTCTGGATTTGCCCTTTAAGTTTTGCCATTTAAGGCCTTTCATGTAAGCTATGACTAATAGGTGACATTGATGACTAGTTCTTTGAACACATCTAAAGTAACTAAGTTGCCTGCAAACTTACACATTCAGAACTTAAATCTTTTTCCCCAGAAAAACAAAGCAGCAGTAGGAAAAGGAAAAGAAAGAGAAGAAAGGGGTTGGGGGAGGTGGGGGAAATAACAAGCTACAATTGGTTAAATTTATATAAAATTTTGTGTAAGTATTTAAAGTTTGCTTCCATGTTTATTCTACTATAAACTGTCCCTGACATCAGACTTTATTAGTCTGTTTATTAAATATTCTAAACATTAAGTTTATCTGACAAGTTGGCCTGTAGATGTGACGAACAACCTTCAGTTCGGCCTACACAAGAAAATTCCTTCTTGGACTTTAAGAATATCTTTCCCTTATTTAACTGACTTATTTCATTAAAGCTAGACATTGTGCCTGTAAACATTTTACCAAATGATCTGGATACGGCAAGATAAAATCATGGCATAGCTTTATTTTTCCTGTTATAGTGGTTATTCTATTTTTCAGTTTAATGCCATCTCTATGAATCCAAATAACATTTATTTTTATTTTATGGAATGAACAAATTCTCTTTTTTAGGCATAAAAAAACAGGATTTAGAAACAAGTTCTAATGTCATTAGGTTTAAATATTCACTGTTCTCAACTAAAGCTTAGAAGCCTACATTAAAAAAGATTAATGTGATCTGTTTTCTCTTCCTTTTCTTTCTATTTTCTCTCCTATGCTCTGTAGTCAGAGACTTTAGGGCAAGAAGTAGAAATAAGGGAGATAAAAACTCTTAAAGTTTGA